TAACTGCTGATATGTAACTAACCAATCCTGAGCTCAACTTTTGCAATATGCATGAAGTTAATTACGAACTGTATTTAACCCGCTGTGCTGATCAATAAAATCAGACCTGTGATGATCAACCTGATGTCCTGGTCTCCTTCCGTCGACACCATGGTGTGGCAGCAGGGTCGCGGCAGTGAATGTCTCCCTGCATTCGGCACTGGAGAGACCACGCTCTTGCTCCCCTCCAACAGCGAGAATGTTCTGCTTTTCTCCGTGTTGTTTGAAGATTTAACTGTGCGAACTGTGCAGAGACAACACAACAGATGAGGGAAAAAATTACAAGAAAAAATCTGAGTGGTAAGGAGAGAAAGAGAGGGATTAATAATACTTGTATTAATACTTGAGATACTTTTGTGAAGAAGGTGGGGGAGCCAAGAAATCCAATGCCAGTGCAGAGGAACTGCAGAGGAAATCTTGCAGAAATTTGCAGTTACTTAAGAGTCAGGAGTGTGACAAACATGGCTGCTTTTTCCTGAACCTCGAAGTCCTTCACTCCCAATTGCTACAAAAAAGAGTTGAGCAGTATTTACAACATTACAGTTGCTTAAGAATTGGAGTGACTGAAACAGATTGTTTCTTGGAAAGGATGTGCACATGTTTTTAGCATAAGCAGAGGGGAGCCTGGTTTTGAGAAACAATCAAAGACCCAGAGATGAACTGAATAAAAAACGTCATGTAAGGAACAGCCTAGAGGAGAGACAATTTTGAGCTTGCGGTGTTGATGTGCTCAGGCTGTGGCCACAATAGGAGACTTGGATGGACTGAATCTCCTGTAAACAAGAAATGCACAGCTTTGTGACCAGGGTTGTGCTGAGCATCACCCATCACCTGTTCCAAACCTCTATTCCAAATTAAAAGGACCTACAAAACCTCAAATACTGCCTTTCCCTCAAGTTGTAGGAGTAGTAGTAGCCACCAAATTTGCTATGAAAGCCCAACACATGGGTGTGAAATGCATCCTCTTTGGTAAGGTGGGAGGTGGAGACACAGCATGGTGAACTATTCACATATTACCCAGATGTGTCTGCAGATGTGCAGGTAAATTGGGAGCTTTGGCACACCCAGGACAGTGCCTAAAGTGATCTTTGATCCAGCAGAACTGTGCTGCTTCCAAGAGGAAAGGCCCTATGGGAGATGGTCTGGGAGCTGATCTCTCTCCCACCTGTTGCTGAACCTGAGGTTGTTGCGAGCAGAAGGCTCTGCCCTGGAGGGCAGAGAGGAATCCTCTGTTTTGAGAGAGGATTTGTGTGCCTGGAGTCTACTGAGGAAATAGCAGAGCACAGATTCATCCCAAAGATGGGAACAGAAGAGCTTTGGCCAATCAGCTCCAGGTGCTGTCAGTGGCAGATGAAGAAAGGGATTGCAAGGTTGCACGCTCAAGGAAAGAGGTTGGACAAATGGGGCCAAGAACACAAAAAGCAGCCAGCCTAAGACAATAAAGTGGAAAAGTGACACATCTTCAGGCAACCAGTGACTGGGCAAAGCAAAATAGTACCCAAAACACTCACAGCAGACTAACTGCCCTAAGAGAGATAACCAGATTCCAAATTCAGTGGAGCAAAGCCCTGTGCATTAATATTTCTGGGGTAAAGGTCTATTTTTGTGTCAGCACACAAATCAGCCTTTCATTTCCTAGGCTGTTAACTGGAACCACAGCAGCTGCTTTGTGATAACGCAGTGCCAGGCACCACAGGACAGCAGGTATGAAACACAGCCCTCGATGTGTCCTGTGGCAGCTGGCACATCTGCTCAGTGCCTTCTAGATCAGATCATAGAGGGGAAGTAAAGGAAGGAGAAGTCTCAGAAAGGAAAAAACGGGAAAAAGTAGAAAATGCATATTAGTGGAACGTACTTCCAAATAAAAGTACCAGACCTGTCATATGTTTGTACAGGTCTTTGACTTCAAAGCAAATGTAACTCTTTTCCTAAAAACAATTATAATAGATAAATAAGATGAAGGGCTTCTACTTCCTAAGCCCCTTAATTTCCTTGTACACTGGCTACAGACAGGGTGATTCTATCTTGTTCTGCTATTTTGATCATTGGTGCTTTGAAGCAAAAATAGAAACACCAGTGTCTTAAAAGACACTCCTTTCTTAATGGCTGATTTGTGCAAGAGGCACTTTCATGTTACCAAAGTGTGATAAGCAATAACAAGATTAATTTTAAAAGCTGACCTTTGTCCTTGCTCAAAATTTTGTCCTTGAGGTTTGTTTTGGTGTCCCGTCCTCTTGGAATGACTTTATCCTTACCTCATTGTAAGGTAAGGATAAAGCACATTTTAGCTAAGGTTGTGCTCTGAAAATAGGATAATTTTTGGTTTTCCTCTCAGGTATTGTGAAGTAGCCTGTGTTGTGGCTGTGGACATGAAATGGAATGAAGGGTGGTGCTGCAGGGTGCTGTGCTAGGTACACATTGGTTAGGGCCAACAGTGGAACTGTATTTGATAAGATCAGGTACTTTACCTAATGATATCCACCCAGTGCAGTGTACATCAAATCACACAGATATGTATCATTCCACAGCATCCTTGATCTAGCCAACAATTGCTGTTGATGTTATTTAGGATATTATAACTCTCTTGACAGACAAGCTGACTAAAGGAAATGAACACACATAAAGCTGTAGCCAATGTAGTTGAATGGAGTTCTTGCTTTTCCATTGAAACAAATTGCACTGCTTTTTTTTTTCTATTACTATTACTATTACTATTACTATTACTATTACTATTACTATTACTATTACTATTACTATTACTATTATAATTGGATAGTTACTCTTACCTAAGTAGCATAGGAGGATACTTACGGCTCACATCTGAGAAGGGAGACGCTGATCATATTTTGCCCTGGTGTAGGAAAGAAATTCCACTGTCACCTGACCAGAAGGGACTTGGGTAGAAATGTTTCAGTTGCTTATATATGCTGCACAAAAATTCTCACTTACTTCTGTTTTGTCGTGTTATTTCCCTAGTTGTCTTCCTCCTGTAGAGAAATACTTGATGCTAAATGGAGAATATTTGTGTGAATTGAAGGAGCTCTCTCTGCTGACACCCAGAACATCCTGGCAGGCAATCTAAAAAAAACAGAATGAAAGATTCCAGTCAGTGAGAAACCCAGGCTGAGAAGTCTCAGCAGAGATTATTAGCGATTGCCTTGCTGCCTCACTGCCCAGCTGCCATAGTGATCAGGAGAAATGAAAAGCCCAGGAAATGGAGCACAGGCTTATTGTCTTCTTCCCTTTCCCTCACTCTCTTTCATTTTTTTTTCTTTCCTGGCACCATACCATCTTAATTTGCTGTCTGTACAGAGGATTCCTGTGTGCAAATGGTCCTGGATATAGTGATATGAAGAGTTTCCTGTAAAGGAGCTTATGTGCACTATCCATACTTAATTGCAGTACGTGCATTTGAATTTTAAAGACAGGCTCTTCAGAATCGCAGTAAGCTTTTTACTGGTGCATTTAGAGACCAGAGAAAGAAAACAAGCTGTGTTTGAAAATATTAATTACTCAGCATTGAAAATTACAGAATTCACAAAATCAGTTATAGAATCTCTAATCTAACCCTCCACCTTTTGCTATTGTAGCCATTGTCATTATAGCAGGTTTTACTTCTAGATCATGGACTAGTCACAGACTTATATCTTGCCTAAGTCTAACCTTAAATCTTGCAAGCAAAAAATTTACCAGAATGAATTAAAAATATTAACTAAGAGTTAAGTACTTGAGTCTCCATGTTACATCCATTATTAGGTGGAATGAAAAAAGGTTAACAAAACCTTTTTTCAGGTTCAGCTAAATGGAATTAAAACCTCTAAAATTTTAAATAAGGCTGGCCCTTATTTAAGAGATTTGAAGCAGTTTTAAAATAGTTATAATTTGATACAATTTTCCTGAGAGTCTTTGTGGACTTAAAACCTTGTACAAGTGGTACTCAGACTTTCCTAGACAGGCTGTTTCTCTTGTGCCAGCGTCTGACCTTTAGTTCCAGAAGTGCTCACCTAAAATTTAAAATTTGCAATGACAGAGAGTAGAGAAACTGCTAAGACTCTGTGCTTCTCACACAGACGCAGAATAGATTAGTGCAAAGAACTCAGGGACCATACAAAACAACTTTACTACATTTTGCAAGAGAAAGTAAAAGTTATGCAGCAGTCCCTGGGGGATAATTCTTCCGGACTCTCAGTTTAGAAATCTTCTGGTTTGCCTTTTCACCTCATTCTCTTTTTTTAGCAAAAACTACAGCGTTCCAGGCTGTTCTTTTATGTTGCAAGACAGAGCAAGAAACTGAGAGCCAATGTATTTTAACAGATATTTTGAAGAGCTACTAGACTCTGTATCTAAATTAAAATGTTTGTCCCTTTCTTTGAAATACTCTGTGGTCTGCAAGAGTCAGAATGTTGGAGCAAGATGGGAAGGAGGTTGAATCACCAGAGCATATGCCACTAAACTGGCCAAGGTATATCCAGTTTTCTGAGTGTCACCAGGCACTCAGAAAACTGGGTATTTCCTGCAGAAATACTGCAGTATTTCTGCAGTTCCATCATCATTAAACACATTTCTGTGCTGGCTCACTGAGGTGCTCTTTTAGCTATGAACAGCCTTTTCTAATGGTTTGATTGGAGAAGCTGAAGAAGCAGAGAAAAAGGGTGTGTGTGGTGGTGAGGGGGTGCCCAATAGTCTCTAAAGTGAACTGGACTACAGTGAGTATGTTTCTGTCATCTTCAGATGTCTGCAGCTTGGGTGGAAGAGATTACAGGAACAGAATTTAATAATTCATCTGCAAGATGAATTAGCTGCTGTTAAGAGCCTGAAAAGTCTGGTTGTGGTTGTATATGGAAGACTTTATAGATGAAGACTTCAGAAATATATGAAGAAAAGAACCAAAACCAAATGGACAGGCCAGGATGAAAATGAGATTAAAATACTTCAGCCTTTTTAGAGAATACTAATGTACCTAGACAGCCAAGCAAGCATGAATTCATCCCCGCTGGAGCTTTGTTTCCTCTGACTATTGCTGTCTAAAGTCAAACACAGTGGCCCTGACATATAAGCTCATTATGTCTCTAGTAAACAGCAAAGGACTTTGAACGCTCTTTGTCCCCAGTGATCAATATTGAGTCTGAAAGAAAACAAAGAGAAAGCCACCAGCACTCTGTGTATTTGGTTATCCTCAGTATTGTATTTATATTCAAAACAGCCATCAGAAATATCTGCTGCTTCTTACACGAACAGAATGTAAGCAGTAAATATAGGGGTTTTTACCCCTATAAATGATTAGCAGGGGAAAAGCATTATTATCAAAGTTAACCTTTGAAGTGAACAGCAGATACCTACAAGGAGAACATATCCATTGTGCAGCTGACAGTATGGGAATAACCAGGCAATTATCAGGTATCTGTATGTGAAAGAATAGTGCTGTCACTACAGAAGTTCTCAGAGTTTGTGGAAGAGGTACTGCCTTTGCAGGTTACTTACATACTGGCACAACAAGTTATGCTAAACACATTATTTATTCCTCCTGCTGGAATGCAGTGGCTTTGGATTTTTTCCTAAGGAGATCAGCCTTACAAAACTTTTTTTCCTGTATCTCTTTTTTTGTTGTTGTTTTTTTTTTTCTTTTCTGTCTTTTCACAGATTCCTCCTTGTCCCTAGTAAGTGTTGCACACACTTCTCAAATTTCATTGCAACTGGCTGAAGGAGGTAAGCCCCAAACATGTGTTTGCTGCTACTTCAGGCAGTGCCTTGCAGAGCAGAGCTGAGCGTGTCCATCCGGCTGAGCAGAACCTTAGGGCGCCCTGAACAGGAAGCTGTTTGTTTGATTTGTTGGCTGAATAATCAGCATAAGCAGCTCAGAATCAACTGGAGTGTGCATACCCTCGTGCCCTTGCCTTCTGGTAAAAGCATGAGGCAGAAGGAGGAAAGCCAAGGAATTGGGAGGGGACAGGGAACACAAGTTGGAGTGAAGATAATTTGACAGTGATGTGCAGGACACAAAAACACAACTCAGAGGACACCAGGCTTCTCAGTTCAGCTCCCCAAGACCATTAATGTCTGCCCTGCCTGCACATTGAGCAAGTATCTGAACACCAGCTGCCTTGTCCTGCCTCTGACACTCATGCTTATGAAAAGCAGGAGCTGTACCTGATCTCAGGCAAAGCAAAAGAAAATATTATTCCCATTGCCCTGCACAAATGCTCAGTTCCATCAGAGCTGTTACAGTGGATGGCAGAGGGGAAAGATGCTTTCACAATGCAAATACTGGGATCTGGATGGTTGGGGTGAACCTTTGCTACCTGGGTAAATTTGCATCCCAACATTGTTTCTGATCGTAGTTTTAAAGTCCTGTCCTGTTATTGTACAGGCTGAATAATTTCATAAGTAACTATTTCTTCTGAGCGTTTGAGGTTGCAGTTAGGTTACTGCAGGAGCAGTTGAGTCATCAAATGTTCATCTCTGCTTTCCAAAGCCCTCCCAGCTTTCCAATCCCATTTGGTGTGGGGAGCAGCAGGGACAAAGTGACCCAACTAAAACATAAGTCACCAGAAGAAAAAGTTTATTTTTCAGCTACATCAGCGTCCCTTGTGCTCGTGCACAGCAGGAGACAGCACCATCATAAGAATGGATGAGGAGTCAAGAATGAGAGGTTTCCACTGTCATTCTGTGCCACTGCCCCAAAATCACTTGAGACTCTTCTCCCTCAGTCTTTTGGGTCTAACAGAACCTGTTTTAAAGAAATAATTGTTTAAGGATGAAAGTGTACCCTGAAAAGCATGCAAGTGAGCAAAGAGGGAGCTGGGAAGACGGAATAGAAATCACAAAAAATTACAACTATCTACATATTTATTTCTAAAAAAAAGGCCTTCTGGCCCATTCTTGTTTTTCTTTTTTTCTTTTTTTTTTTTTTTTTTGATTGCTCCTTGTAATAAATTCTGCTGGCTAAAACATCATCCAAAATGTAATTCTGGGTGCAGTGTGGTGTTTCTGCTGATGCTGCTCAATAGTCACTCTCCCACATGCACACTGAAACAGAAGTTGAAAAAAAAATTTTTTTGTTTTTAAAAATTCTGCAACTCTTATCCTGGGAAGAACACAGTAATGGACATCCTAGGAATGTTTACTCTTTTTTCCACCTCCAGTACTTTCTTTTTTCTCTGCTCTATTCCAGGATCTGCAGTGCTTTCAGTGCATCAACTTTTACAGTCTTGAGAGCATTTAAGTAGAAGGTAGAGTATAAATCACTGTCGTTAAAAACAGAAAAAGAGGCAGAGGTGGTCAGCAAAGAGGGTGTCTTAGGTTGGAAATGGGTGTGTGTATTCTATTCCTATATGTAGAGTTATCTTCTGTTAATTGGACAGTTTTCTTTATCTCTTCCACAACCAATCCTCTCTCTGGGAAATATCTTCTGTTAATGTGCCATTGAGTCTCACTGCATGACTGATAAAATTACATCATCCCATTGTGAGATGCTCTGCCCAGGGGGAGGAGCCAGGCATTCCTACCTGGGTATAATCAGAGATTTGGAAGACCGCAGCCAGCCTTTTACACGGGATTCCCAGAGAAGCAGCTGCCTTTTCCACTGGATTCCCAGAGGAAGACCAGGCCCATCTACACCACCACTGGATCTTCAGAGGAAGACCACATCCTTCTACAGGATCACTGCTTCAACAGAACCATATCTGCCTCTCCAGGAGGATGGCAGCCACCATTTCAATTGGGTTGCTACCAATCCCCTGACCAACAGGGTGTCAGGCTATATCCTGACTCTGTCAGTGTTGTTTTGTATCACTGCATTGTTTATTTTATTCTTTTTTAATTTTCTTCCTAGTAAAGAACTGTTATTGAAAAGACACCTGTCTTTTCAAACCAAGACAGAAGGATTTGGGAAAGCAAATCACCTGAGAAAATATGATTTCTTTATTATTTTGGGAGAGCAACATGCATCTTAGTAAGCTGATGGACTTTCCAGCATGCCTAACCTGTTTCCAGAAAGTCATTACAGAATCAAACTGGTGCTTGAATGTGTTGTTTATTTTGGGCATTACTGTCCCTCTGGCTTTCCCCTCTTCTTCCATGTTGTCTCAGCAATAAAAAGCCCTAGTTGTGGGACAGTTTTGCCAGGAGGAAGAATAAGGATCACAGGCACGTAAAGCTGATTTCCTTTGTTCATCATGCTTATAAGGGGGAATAATAGAAATTGCTAT